AATAAATAAATAAATAAATAAATAAATAAATAAATAAAATAAAATTATGTATCAACTATCTCCACTGTGGAGCAATATGATGAACTTTCAGTTAAAAGAAACGAGAAGTTAGAATCTTACATAAGCTAAAATATCCCAGACTTGGGAATGTCTGGTTATGATATACAAGGCCCTGCTCCAGGGCCCAGGGTCAAGTCAATCTCTGTCCTTCATTTGACATCCTGTTTGCTTAATGATGTTTCTTAGGTTGAGGGGGTGATGGAATTCACTTCCTCAGTATAAGCTTTTACTTCACAGAGATGTGAACACACCTCAGATATGGCTATTCAGATGATCCTCTTATTTTTCTGAACATTTTCATGAATCCAGGGAATTTAAGATTATAAAAAACCTACATAGTAAAAGGAATATATTTATACAGATTCCTTGCTGCCAAGTCAGATAAGATTTATTTAAACAGGAAGTATTCTTTCTGTGATAATATGTTATCTGAGCTCTTTCCTCCTGACTTTATGTTGATTGGTGAAATACAGGGTATGTCGAAGGTCTCTAACCTCAGCTGTATCTAAATAATCCACATATGTATAGTACTGAATTGCCTTTGGTGCTATCTTGTACTCATCAATCTGTAACAATAAAATTCCTTTGTACAGTGTCTGATGGGCAGCCTGAGCCATAAGTTGCTGAATAAATGTATTTTGGATGATTATTCCAAGTTTTATTGGCCCCTTGGTATGTTTATTCGCTCACACAGAGTGACCCTCAGCATTTCCACCCATCTGTGCCGTGCATAGAGTCTTGATTATAATAGTCACCAGTGTTGGGATTTAGAAATAGAGAAAAAAAGTAAACACAACTGGAAAAATACTATAAGTAAAAATTGAGTAAAAAACCATATAAAACTAGATTTAATTTTCAAGGTTGAAATGACAGTTCTCTAGCTACATATTCTCATTTGTATTTTAATTTCTACATCCACAGGACTCTGGGCACACTTTCATTTTTCATACCATTAATTTATCTGCAATCTAATGTGCTGTACTTCTTGAGATTTGCTGGATGCTATCTTTCTATTAAGTAGTGTGGTAACTAACAGAACACAATTAATTGAGCCCTTCAGGAAAAACTGAGTGAACTGCTCTGCTCATTGCCAGGCCATGAATTTCTTTTCAGAATATTAAGTTCCTCTGAGGTGATTCTTCAAGGTCCCCATGCCAAGCAAGGTACCCATGCATCAGCGCAGTGCTATCCTGGCGGCTTGACTGGGGACACCTACAAAGAGGCTGGGAGTTGGTCAAGAATCTAGTTGTGAGACTTGCTCTACACACACAATTTCCATCTTCTCACAAACAGCACCGTTTTGTAGCATGGCCTTCTAGTACCTGATAGCGAAAAAGAACTGTTTCTCAGCAGCTTCTTTCTGACATAGCCATCTGTGTTCTCTTTCTACACGTCTTTCAGCTGGTGGTCCCTCTCCATTCAGGGTCAGGATTTCCCCGATGTGTGACAGCGAGCTTATTTCTATGAATTCTTTTGCTTTATGGACCGCTGGTTCCTATGTGCTTCATTTTCCTGGTGGAAAGCCATTCAGAAAATGAGGCTGGTGACTCCCATAGTAGGACAGTGGGTAGACTTTTATCACTGAGAGTAGGTAAATAAAGGCAGTTGACATCTTGATATTATTTGTTTAAAAAATAAATTAATTAATAAATCTCTAGCATTCACATCAATCTCAGTATGAGTCATATCAAGATGGAGGTTTTTCACTGCTGAGGAAAAGTGGGGGTGATGTATTAAAATCTCTAGAGCCTGAGATTGGTAAGGTGATTATGGATTAGGTAAAAATTTGAGTTTTCATTTAGATTTTTAAATTTTTTTCCAGTACCAGAGATTGAGCCTAGAGCTCTACATGTGTTTTACCATTTGCCTACAGCCTTTAGCCATGATAAACATTCCAGTGTTGTTTTATTTTAGGAAATTTAGTTTTAAAAATTAGACAGCACCTGCCTGGCAAGTGTGAGGTTTAAAAAAAAAATAGGCTTCAGACATTAAAATTACTTTTCAATAAACAACTGATATATTATACAGAATGTGTGCTTTATTCTTTTAAGACTGCTAGGGTTCTGTTCCTTGGCTTTTTCCAGCAGCTTTGTTCAGTCTTGTGTTTAGTTCATTCCTCACATGTTGAGCGAACACTCTGTCCAAGGTCCTGGCAGAGGCTGTGGGGATAAAAAAGTGACTGTGGCCCAGACCTTACAGTCTGTACCAGGGCTCAGCCAGCTTTTTCTGGGGAGGACCAGATAGTAAATATTTTGGGATTCAGCCTATCTTTGTAGCTACAACATAGACAGTACAAAAACCAGTGGGTGTCCTGTGTGCCAAACTGTTCTATGGATCTGTTAGAATTTATAATAGATCCATAGAAAAAGAATGCAAATGATAAGGACCGGGGATGGGTCAGGCACAGCATTCTAAAGGACACAGGGAAAGGCATCATGACCCTGAGAAGGTGTGGGGAAGGTGTGTGCTCCCTGTGATGAGACGAGTACAGTAACACATGGAAGATTCGCGGGCATGGCCAGGTGAAGGGCAGAGGGAAGGGAGGACAGCGAAGGTGTAGGGTGGGATAGCAAAGACTACAGACTGGCCCAGCTGCAAGGTGGGGGAGGAGTGCCAAGAAAGTCCTCTGTCTGTATGGTGCAACATGTTCTGTATTTCACACTGGAAGAAACTGACCATGACTGGCTGAGATAGAACTTCAGGTTTCCCTACAGTAAAATAATGCATGGATAGTTTTACAGCACAAATATTTTAGTCCCCAAATATTACATTTAAGAATTAGAATGAATAAAAGGAAATATGGTGGCTTGAATGGCCTTAGTTTTGCCTAGCAGCTGGCCTGGAAGTAGGCTGTGGCTCTTCAGGAACATAGAAAACTATAGGGAGGAAGAGGAAGGCCAGATAGTGTGAAGGTTCTTTTTTTTTTTCAGTACCGGGGATCAAACTCAAGACCTTGCACTTGACAGGCAGGCACTTATGCCACTGAGCTATATCCCCAGCAGGAAGGCCAGGTAGTGAGAGCTCCCTCACTGTGCTGTCGGCAGGCTGAGATGTCTGTCCTTCACCGTGAAGAGAGGATAAAGGATGGCATGGCAGAGCTTACTCATGCATTTTGCTCACTTGAGGGTTTCCTGGTCTCTCCTGATGTGGTGCATAGGACTTGCCATCAAGGAGCTTTGAGGGCTGAGAGAGCTCTTCTCGCGTGGTAACCACAGAGTCAGCCTTCTCACTAGTGGCTTAGAGAGTTTATAGGAAGCAGGGTTCTTGTGGGAAAAGATTCAGAATTTCCCAACTGTGATAAATTACTGAGGTTACTTCAACCCTCTGTCTTGGCTTTCTCATCTGTAAAGGAGAGATCTTAATGTCAACTTCACAGGACTCTCAACAAGAAGCATGCAGTGCACATTGGTAGCTCCAGTGCCAGGCATATTAGGGGATAACCCAGAAGCCCATCATGGCTCTTAATCCTTTATTGCTTGTCTATTTTCACCCTGTTGCTTCGGTGCAAAATCGAGGTGGAAGAGAAAATGTGGCTGACCCTGACTGATTCCACCCGTGGAGAAGTAGCACAAGTCCTTAGTTCTTCAAAGAGAATCAGAAGTGCTGTTTTCATGCAGGATGCTGCTTAATTATTCCCTGTGTTTTAAAAAGACAAAAGAAATACTCCACCCTGTGCTTTCACACCCCGCACATATCCACACACCAGAAGCCAGTGTGTATGCTCAGTGCCTCTTACCGCATTCTCAACAAAACCTCCAGGCTCTGCGAGAATGTGGTAAATCCATGTAGAGTCATCGCACATGGTCTGCTTTCAGTCCATTATGTAGAGCAGTTCTGCTAGAGGGGCCACCTCGCCTGCCTGACCCTTCAGATGCCTTCTCTTCAGTGTCATTCCTTGTCCTGTAGTAATTTGTTTCCCTCCCCAGTCCAACTGCTGTGCTCATTATGTCAGGGCAGTGGCACTGGGAGGGAAGGCTCGGCAAGACCAGCGTGACAGGAAATGCTCTCGGCTGCTCCTCGCTCCCTTCCCTTCCCCAGTCCTGGGGACAGCTCTGTTCATCCTTCAGCCTGTATCAGAGCCTTCACTCACCTTCAACAGAGTAGGCAGAACTGCCACATTTTTTTTGAAAAAAGACTTCTGTTTCTTTCTCCTAGTCTGCTAAGTACCTCCACCGCATCAGGTTATTCCCAGGCCATGTGTGGGTCCCTTTGGGGGTTCTTCATGAATAAAGATGGAAGGATGTGAGGGGCACCTCATTCCCTTTATTTACAAAAAGTCCCCAACTTACAATGGTTCAAACTGAATAATCTCCTTCAACATTAAGATGGTGCAAATTTTTCACTTTCAGTACATTCTTAAATAAATTTTATGACCTAGTCAGCACTTTATTTTAAAATTAGATTTGTGTTAGGTGATTTTACCTGGCCATAAGTGTTCTGAGTAGTTAAGGTGGGCTAGCTGAGCTGTGATGTGCACTGGGCTAGGTGTGCTTGTGGCCCAGAGAAGTTCATCAGTCTATAATGTCACGATAAGCTGAAGAGCGTCTGTATTGTTCTCAGAAGTGGAAGGGGGAAGGGAGCATCTTGTACCTCTGCGCTTCCTTTAGGGGTATAGAGACCGGGGAGGTGAGGAA